GTTGGAAGTACTTCATTCTTATTGATTTAACTACTGTTGTTCATGCCGGTGCTTAAACCGAAGTACAAGGTAAGCGTGAAGTCTGTAGACGATAACGAAAATTGCCGTAACGCCCAGGTTCATCCACTTGCTGAAATGCTCTAGGCCAGACTCGGCCAGTACTGTATGTATACAGGAGCAAGAAGACGAAAGAAGAAAGCATAAGCAGAACATGACCATGTTGGCAATCACATATGACAAGACCCTGTATGTTCCCCTAGAAGTTTCACACTTGAGGACCTGGTGCTCCGCAAGAAACATCGGCAATGACTCACTGGTGGACGTGAGCAGGAACATGAGAGTGAAGGCAAAGAAGCTGTAGTGTTCCTGGATGTCCTAGGTGGTGAACACTGAGCCAAGAGTAAAGTCAGCACCAAGTGCTTGTGCTGTCCTTGCCAGTGACAACTACTTGGTCTTCCAACACTGGCTAGACTATAGCAAGATCTCTTTGCATTGAGAGTTGGTTATATGGCTAGAGTGGTGTTTTAATAAACCATTAAGGTATCCAAATAGGTAATGTTACCCACACTTGGATTGAGAGTATTGACTATTTCATCTTTTGGAGGAGTTATAGTTGGCTTTTAAACATTTCACTAAATCATTTCATTTGTTATCTATATTCACTTTTAGTTTAAACTCTTAAATATTTGTATCATCATCTACCATATGAATATAGCCTTCTTCGGTCACACTAGCATTTCTTGGTCATATTGGTTCTATTGGAGTCCTTATTCTATAGGGACCCCCTAGAGTTTAGGTATATGAAAGAAACATTAATTAGTATTAATATAAGTTTGGTACACTGATATAAAAAGTTACACTAACCATCTTATGTGATATCATTTGTAGATGCATATGTGGAGGTTGGGTTTAAAATCCCAACCTTTTAATGCTTGGAAGGCATTTAATTTGGAATATGATAACACTCAATGATGGATTCTTAATAAAGAGGACCTTAAAAATAAAGGATATAGTTAATATATTTATATGAAAGTTCAACAGAAGAATGTGGTAAATGGGATGGAGACACACAATCTTGGTTGTTACGAACCTTTGGTTAGAAGGGTTGACTTGCTAAGTATGGGGGATGCTCTTGTAGTTAGTCAACAACTCATGAGAAATCTATATGGGATCACTAGATGATCTTATTGCTAATCAAGAATAAGTTCTTTATTAAATTAAGGAACATATTTTCTAATTTATTAAGTGGACCTAAGGTGAAATGATCTATGACAATACAATGGTATTATGAGTCCAAGAAAGTAGTCTCCAAGGAAAATTTCACAAGCTTAATCGCTAAGAAGAGTCAGAGGTTGTTGGCATTCTTTGCTAGCATGTCGTAAGCCACACGTCAAGGAGAAGATTTGAGGCATGTACGAAGGAGGAAGTGAGAAGGAAAAGAGGGCAAGAATGCCTACTGGGATTTCTCTGTTTCACAAGATGCCCAATCATAAGAATCGTGAACAGTATAATAGCGAGGAATGGAAGCCTGATTGTGATGCTCTTGGTTGCTGAGGAATCTGCATGGAAAGCATGGCTATGCAACTCCGCCATGAAAATATTTCCTACCTATCTACCTAGAAGCTCGATTGATTAGGGTTCTTTGGCATCCACACCCATGGGAGAGTTACAAAATTGGGCTATAATTGTATCCACAATGGAAAATGATGATAAGATTTACTAGGGGTGAATATGCCAAAGTAGAGCTTTTGTTATGAAATAAAAATGATACCCCAAATATGGAAGTAGCAATCCTATATTATTTGATGCAACAATTAGAAGATATGAGCAAAATACCAATGGCCAATAAAATTTTGGGAATTGTTGGAGTGATTCCAAATTATGAGTTAGGCAAACAACTAACATAGGATGGATGCTAATGGATTATGGGAAAGGTAATAGAATTCTAAGGGATAGCATTCTCAAGTCCTTTAATTTTGTGAAATGTGAAAACTCCAAAAATGAAGTGGCAATATAGCCAAATGATAGAGCCATAAGTAACTTTAATATAAATTATGGATAAGTGGAACTTACGAGATTAAAAAGAAATATATGATGTCCTCAAGTAAAAAACTCCTTAGGATAAGAAAGTAGAGTTTTCACAACAAAAATGTCTAATGGAAGTGTTGAAGACACTTACAAATTGGGATAAGAAGTCTATATTAAAATTCCAAATGACAATCCATACATTGATATAGTTTAAGATTACTCTAGAATGAGTAACAAGATTAAGATATAAAAGGTGTTTCTAATAAGTTTAGCGGGATCTAAACTAAAAAAGTGAAAGAACCATCACAAGTGATTCAATGAGTCCTTAAATTGGGTGGTCTATGCTCTTTAAAGGATATGCAAGGCATGATGAGCCTTTGGTGTTGAACCATTAGCAAATAGTAATCCATAATGGACTTACTTTAGAAAATAAGTTATCATTCAATAAAGACGTTAAATTTCATCTATGGGTGAAGGAGTTAGAAGACATAAATCTTTAAGTTCTAAAGTAGAGCCAAAGGTGAATAATGTGATAGTGGCCAAAATGGAAGTTTAATGAGCGTAACACAAAACTCCAACTCAAAAAATAAAAAATGCAAAGAAGTGCTTAAAAAACAAGTATGAAGTGATTGATAAGTGAGTTTTTAGAAAGGGATAAAAGAAGGATTAATACATGGCAAATGTTGTAACGTTAAATCCAAGACCAAGTCTAAAACCAAGTTCGAGATTAAATTTATGATAAAGTCTGAGATCTAATTTGAGACTAAATTTGAGAACGAGTTCGAGATTAAATCCAAGACTTGTTTAAGACCAAGTATAAGATCAAGTCCAAGATTAAGTGATAAATATATAGTTACATAGTCTTAAAGGTTAATGGGACTTAGTGGAAAGGCCTTTAAGCTCTAACATTAGGATATATATAGCAAAAGAGTGAGATTTTTTAGAATATTCTATTGTTGAGAGGATATTCTAACAAAGGGGGATATACCCCTTTTTCCAAAGTTCATGCAAAATAGATGTTTAAACTTGATTCTAGAGCATAAGAGAGTGTTTTCCTCATTTGTTGAAAAAATCCCTTATCAACATTTGGTGACTCCACTAGGGAGGATTACTTTATAGTCAATCCTCCCCTTTATTCTTTAGTTTCTTGGGTTTTGGGGTGAATTTGTGAAAGATTTACATTGTAGTATTAAAAAGATCCTAAAAGCAAAGATATGTGTGCCCAAATGCAAAATTCTAAATGTTATGCTTGAATTTTAAGGATTTTTTGAGTTTTCTTTCTTTTTAAGCCAACAACAATTATTTTCTCCTTTTCATGTCTTAGTTGCTAATTTATTTCGGAAATTGAGCTGATAGCTTTTAACTTAAGTCAATGATGGGTACCCCAACACTTATGGACATGCTGCAAGAATACCACAGTACCTTTGTCCACCCTACAACATAAGTGTGCACCATGCTTTTTACTTTTCTAAGTGTGGTGGCCAGCTAGAAATGTGGTACCATATACTAGGGAGAATGATGCACTTAGCTGCTGGAAGTCCAAGCTTCCTAGATGACCATTTCTGGATTGCCATTCTAACCTCTTGAGCAGCATTTCATCCTGCAGTGCCGCACTGAAGTGAGTTTCTACCTGAATCCCCAGGTATTGGGTGCTCTCGCATCTCCTGGCCCCATGATTCAATCCCTAGCTTTCCCCAATTGATCCCAACGGACTTGTTCCAATATTTCCAATTTCCATCCAGGTTCTTAGCAACCAGAAAGAGGGTGGTGTAGGGTCCATCCATGAGCTCCTGAGGCACTCCTGCCGTCCCCAGCAGCTGCTGTCTCACCGAGCCAGAGCTGGAGTGGTATCATGAGATCCTGTGGAAGGGAGTGCTGCAAATTCCATGTTGGGGAGAAAGAATAATCTCCCTTTGAAGACAAA